GAAAGACAGCGTTGACGTCACCCGCAGCCAATCAGCGCGGGAGGCGCAGAGCAGGGTGACGTCACCCCGCGGGCGCGGAGCGGCGCGGAGCCGCGGCTCGGGCAGAGGGCGCTGCTGCCCGCGGGGCTCTGCGAGTCACATGACCCACCTGGCCCACCTGGCGCGCCCCGCTGCGCGGTTCTGTCCTTGCGGCGGCTCCGGCTTTAGCGGCCGATTAGGGCTTAGGAGCTTTAGGCTTTTGTTGGCGCTTATGAAATCGAGGCAGTCGACCTCTCCGCCGCCCGTGCGGATGCCGAGTGTTCGGAATTAGCTCTCTTCTCTGCGGGCGCGCGGGGTCTCGGAGATCACCGAGGCTGGTTTGTTAGCCCTGAGCCTCGGTTCTCCTGCTGCAAGAATCAGTGCGAAGCGGATGGGTGCGGAAACCCCTGCACACCGGGGTCGCTCCGCCGTGCTAGAAGGGAAGGTGTTTCGGCAGCTTCTCTCCAAACCCGGCTCTGGCACACCGCCGTCCCGGCCCGGGGTCAGATCCGACCCGCAAAGCATCTCCACGGCGGCAAACGGGAGGAGAGGAGGGGAGGTGGACAGAAAGGCTCGGTGTCCCGTACGGCCCCAGAGGCCCGGCAGCACCCGATGTTAGCGGGGGAGGCGATGGGGGAAGGCCGGTATGGTGCCGCGGTGGCAGAACAAAGCAGCGCCGCGCTGCCGGGCACCAGATGTGCGGCCGTTGTCATTGCAGGGACCGGGTCCCCCCCACTGTGTGCCGAGCAGCGATGCTGTGGCCGCTTGCTCCTTGCTGGAGGGAGGGGCTCTGCTTTGGATAAAAATCTCTTGAGGGACAATTTGCCCATTTGCCTCATTCTGGTTTGGATGGTTGTTTTTTTTTTCTTTTTTTCCCCCTCTTTTTCTCATATTCCAGCACACCTGAAGATTGGTTGCATCCTAGCAATGTGTTTTGAATGCAAAGTATGCTTGCACACATCGTAATTTTTGCTCAAACGTTTTCCAAGACCCGTAATTGCCATCTCAAACCAAGCACAAAACTCAAACTAAGCAGATTTCTGCCAAAGCAATGAGTCCAACAAGAGGCTTTTCCCCTGACCCACTGCTGTTCTAAACGCCCAAAGAACTGCTTTCAGCATCAACCAGTGCTCGGCTGCTGGAGGCAGACAGCGCTGTGGGGAGTGTGAGGCTGGAGATATGCACAGTGCCATTTATCGGCTGTGTGCTGCAGCCATAGCTCTGCAGCTCTGCCTGAGGAATAAAGGGGAAAAAGCAGCAAAACGCATGCTGAATAAAATCCCTCTGCATGGAGCATGAGTCAAAGTCAGGGGATGGGAGGAGCAGGACCTTTGTACTGGGCACGGAGCGATCATGCTGCAGGATGCTGGAGGCTCTGTGAGGACAGCTCTGCACGGGGCTGAGGGCTCTCAGCACTGGACTCTTTCTTCCTACCCTGTGCAGAGTTTTGTTCAGCTGTTCATCAGTTGCTAGGGTTTTTTTGTTTTGTTTTCTATGCTGCAGAAATCGGTTTCAGTGATGAGAGCATCTGCTGCCATCTGTGCCTCCCACCCTTCCTGCATGGTGAGCTGGGCACTGTGGGGCCCGCTGTGCAGCATCCATCCTGCCTGGAGCAGCAGGCAGACCCACCAGCACCCCGCTGCTCCCCTGCATCTGCAGGACTCCAGCTGCACCCTAACCCTGAACCGAGACCTGATGGCACTGAGCAAAGGGGCAGCTCCAGCTCACAAAGCCCAGTGGAGCAGCACTGGAGGGAACACACAGGGATTTTGGGTGTCAGGGCTCCAGCACTGCCTCGGGCAAAATAGGGGCTGCTCGCTCACCCTGTGGGAAGCTGAGAATGCTGGAGCCGGGCTGAACGTCATTACCCAAACTGGGTGCCAGCTTTGCTCTCCCTTCTGCCCTATTTCTTGCAGTCAACTCATTGACGTAGAAGAGCCACAGGGTCACGGTTGCTGCTGGGAGGAAATCCAAACCAGTTCAACCCAGCTGGGATTTGCCTGCAAACTGGCTTGGCAGCCTCTATGCGGAGGTGGCAGCGCTGAGCCTCGGGCTTGCGTAAGTGTGTGGCATATGCTTACACACGAGGGCACCCTTCTCCCTGTGAGGTCCCATAGAGAGACTTCAGGAGACTGCCCAGAGCCACCTCTTGGTCTCCTGATGTGCTGCTGGGGAATGCAGTGAAATCATCACGTGACGATGTAACCATCCTTCCTTCCTGAATTCAAAAGGCTTCTCAGGCATCTGACGGTTCCTCTCTCCCACCCCTCTGTTCAGTTGTTGCTTTTGCTGCTGAATGCAACAGAGGCTGCATCTTCACAGCCAAGAAAAGGTGTGAGCTGGAGTGAGCCCAGCAGAGCTGCGAGTGGCAGAAGTGAAAAGGCAGAGCAGCAGCACCAAATCTTTCCTTCTGCCGTGCTGATGGCAGCCTTGGCAAGCTCTCCCTCTCCAGAATGTTCCCACACCACTGAAAAAAGAAATCACAGTGATATTTGGCTGCTGCTTTTCATTCCCGTGTTCCCTCTGAGCTGAAACAAAGAAGGGGTGATCAATCCCTCTGCAGGTTTTGGTGCACCTCGGCCCTGCTGCAGCGTTTACACGGAGATGCCTCACCAAACGTGGGTGTTCTTGGCAGCAAATAATAAGCACAGTGGTGCTAATAATAGCCCAGCCTGGCAGGTGATGCATGAAAAATGCTGCAGCGTCAGTGCAATATTCCCCTGGTTCATTACAGCAGCAACCGCCCTCCCTTGACTGGGGCAGCCCATGGAGGAAGAGAAGGTGGCACTCATTTGTCACACTTGTTAGAGGCAGGAGGGATGGCTCTGGGTTGCATTCAGCTTTGTTTCAGCTCTGCCTTTATCTGAGCAACCTTGCTCCTGCATGCCAAGCCGGGGCTCTCCACATAGAAAACCACCTGTGAGGTGATCACCAGGGCAAAGCTCAAGGACTCTGCCCTTCTCCTTGTTGGACTTTAAAAGGTCAAGACAAAGGCCCATCACTTTGCCCATAGATGAACTGCAGAGGAGCTCCGGGCAGCACTGGTGTCCCTGAGGGCACTGTCCTGCTGCTGACATGCTTCATCACCTCGTCCCACATTTCTCCTTTGGAGTGTATGCCTCCTCCTGGTGCAACAAGGCTGGAAAAGTCTCAGTGAAGGGAAGAGAAACAGAGCAGGCATTGCCGTTTGCTGAGGAGCTCATTTTACACTTGAAGATGAGACAGCTGCAGCATATGCAATTAGAAAAGAGGTCAGGGAGCTGTATTTTATCCCAGGCCTGACCATTTATTCATGCTATGACCTGGGGCTGATGGCACAGAGCTGACGTTTCGTGCAGCCTGGAGAGCCAAAGGTTCAGTCTACAGCTCTTCATTCTTGTACCACCGGTGGGGGGAGCCTGCCTCCCGGCTGCCTTGGCTCTGCCCGACGCCGATTGAGCATTGCAGGGGTCAGCGCAGTCCTGGCTCTCCAACCTGGCACACGTCCTCCTGCATCCCTCATCCCTGCCTGACACTCCCTTAAGCAGCCGCCGGGGACACAGGCATTGTCTCTTGCCAGTGAGCTGCGATTCTCTGCTTCTTTGCCCTATCTCTTCAGCCATCCCCGGAGACTGGCATATCCCAAAGGCTCAGGGATATGTAGCTTCCCCTCAGCTCTCTCATCTTAAAAACTCAAGAAATACAATGTGTTTTTTTAAGCAGCACATCGAATGCGGATGATTCATCCTGTCCCTTCCCTAGCATGCAGCGTTGTCCATCCTTTCTGTCTTTGTGCAAAAAGAGGGGAGACCAACCAGAGCAACAGGGGTGTTCAAGAACAGTGGAGATGTGGCACTGAGGGACATGGCCAGTGGGCATGGTGGGGATGGGTTGTGAGTGGACCTTGGTGATCTCAGAGGTCTTTTCCATCCTTTAATGATTCGATGATGCTACGATAATTGACCCAGCAGCAGCAGATATCAGAGGTATCTTTATTGACCGTGTTACGGAAATACAGTAGCACTTGGTTCACAGAGCACATGGAGTTCTCCGGAGATGCCTTTGTCCTCAACACTGCTGGGTGATCCCAAGGAGAAATTTGCCCCTTAATGCGCTGGGGTTGACCTGGAGGCATTGGGGCTCTCTGACACCAACAGCCTAACACTCAGCCCTCCGGGATGGTTATCTCAACACATGAATTAAATTCAGTAGAACTGCATCACGGAAGGAAAACAACAGAACGCTGTGGGGCAGTGGGCAGTTTGAAAGCATCTGATATGCTCTGAGCCTTGGCCATCCCACTGACCTTGGGCATGCTGCCTTCCTCCCAGCCCTGTCTTGTAGCCCAAAGGCCTCTATGGCCATGCATCTGGCCACACATTTAGCTCTCAGCTTTGCACACTCACATTACACAGCTCCATTTGCCATGAAGTAAGATCTTCTTGGTCTCTTTTCCTTCCTATACAATTGCAAAAGTGAAACCCTTTCCTACAGCAGTCCACATACTGTTTACGAGCAGGAAGAGTACGCTTGCCCGGGCTGATAAACTCATTTATTTTTTATTTTTGTATTTACTTTTTTGATTTTTTTTTTTTAATTATTCTTATTATTCTTTTTTATTTTTATTTTTTATTTTTTACTTTTTTTTTGCCATCACGATGGGGTTGTTTTACTCTCGTGTCCTTGCTACAGGAAACAACTGCAGACACTTCTGGCATAGAGGCATCTTGGCGGCAGCGCTGCTGTTGGCCTCCTGCTAGTAATCAGTGAGGGGGTACCGCAGGAAGATGAAGATGAGGATGATACAGAAGGTGGCAAGGGCTGAGCTGGTGATGTTAAAAAGCCGGGCTGTCTTGGCATCTTCCACTGCACCATTTAAGTCATTGAGGAGTTTCTTATCCCGGACCTGAGGCAGAAAAACAAAATTAACTGGGAGATGTGCTGTGATACTATGTAATAAAATGATGTAATAAAAGTAATAATGCATCTCCAGGAGATCTGGGTGCTGATGGACTCTCCCGTCATGCCATGACATCCTGGCAGCTCTGGGGTTTGCACCAGCTGGAGCAAGGTACCATAGCAAGGTACCTAGAGCGAGGTACCATAGCAAGGTACATAGAGCAAGGTACCACTTCCCAGCTTGGAATAGGTTGCCCAAGAGGTGCAATGCCCCATCCTTAGAATCATTCAAGGTCAGCCTGGACAGGGCTCTGAGCTCCTGACTGAGTTGTAGGTTTCCCCGTTCACTGCAGGGGAGTTGGACCAGATGGCTTTTAAGGGTCCCTTCCAACTCAAACCATTCTATGAACCTTACAGCACGGGTGCTGTCCTTGTTATCCTACAGGCTAGGACAACCATGGACTTCCCACGTCCATGTCACCTGCTCGTCCCCACCTCCTCCAGGCTGCCAGGAGTAGCGATGACATGAGCAGGCAGCAGGTGGCACTGCCAGGCAGCGGATGGCACCTCTAGATGATAGACGGCCTCGCCAAGCCCTGGATGGCATCGCCAGACAACAGGTGGCATCACCAGGCAGGGATGGCGATGCTCACCCCTGGAATGTGCTCCATTCCTTTCCAGCACGGCCACATCCCCGTCGCCAGACCTCTCGCATATGGCACTCAGCACCCGGAGCACAGAGGACGTGGCACCGGAGAATTTTGCCCAATTTCCCACATCGTGTTGGCAGCACCCTTGGGATGGTTGCAGCGTGTGCGGTGCTGCTCGCTCAGTGCCAGAGGGCTCTGGAGCTGCGCTCCCGGTCACCCCCCGTGCTTGCTATCACGAGCAAGGTGCTGCTGGCTGAACGCTAGGTGTCGGTGGCAGGCTGTGAAATCCTGCAGCAGCCTCAGAGTCCTCCTAGAAACATAAAAAACCTCTTATCGACTAGGAGCTTTCTGCAAACATCCTGTGCCGCATTCAGCCCACGTCTCAGCCACTTTTTTTTCCTCTCTTCCTCCTGCAGTGCTCTCCTGAAAGCTTGATGCCACTTGCCCAGCACAGGGACAGGCTGCTGGACCCCTCTGTCCTTCTGGGCCATGCAGCTTCACACCAATGTGCTGCCTTTCCTGCAGGGCTCTGAGCACAGCCAGCAGCAGTGGGGCCAGCCGAGTGCACAAGGACCTGTACAGCAGTCAGGCATTGGCAGAAGCCTTTTCTCTATGTCTTGGCACTGAGTGGATGCCAGGGGAGTCCCAGTTCAATACCGTGCTGTGGCCATCACACACTATGCTTGACTTGGTAGCCTGCCTGGATGGGATGTGACCTCAGGGAAGGTGGCAATCCTGCTGCCCTTTGTGGCAGCTCTGTGCCCAGGATGGGTCACCTCAGGAATTGTTCTGCGGGTTTTGCATCCTCCCAAAAGTCTGGAAAGATGCGAAGCTCCAGTTTGCTGGAGTGGGCACCTTGAAGTGAAGGGCAGCCCCAAGGCATCCTCCTCTTCATACAGTCACAGAATCATTCAGGTTGGAAAAGACCACCAAGTCCAACCCTCAACCCATCCCCACCATGCCCACTGAGCCACATCCCTCAGTGCTACATCCACACAGCTCTTGAACACCTCCAGGAATGGTGACTTCATCATGGTGAGGATCCTGACCCATGCAGACCAGTGGGGCTGGTGCTCTGGGCTCTGCACTCTTCTGCTTGCTGTGCCCCTGTGGGAGCTGGTATTCCTGCCCTGAGATCTCCCCGCCTCCTCACCTTCTGCTCCTCCCTTCCCTGGAACTCTCTCCTAGCTTGCTCCTAGCACTCCCACCTTTCATTCTTTCCCATGCTACACACCATCTCTCAACATCTTACCTTCTCCCTGGCCCCTCCATCTCCCTTTCCCTTCCCTTCATGGCAATGCCCCTGATTTAACCTTGCTTTAGGCTCCTTCCCCCTCCTGGTGGGCCCCTGGTTTCTTCTTTTCCCATCCACCTGCTCCTGCAGACCCTACAGGAAGTGGTGCTCTCCCCATGTCCTCTATCACCTGCAGCCCACATCTTTTCTCTTGCCCTTAGCTTTGCCCCCAGCCTCCTTGGTTGCACGCACCTCTCATTCTCACCAAGCCCTTCGGCGTAGTCCTTTCCTCTCCTCCCTTATTATTTTCCCACACACCTTATGACTTCAGCTGTCATCCTTATGCAAATATCCCATATTGGCCACTATCATTTACATTGCCTGTGAGTTCCAGGTGAATGACGGAGTCCCTATGGCACACAAGCATAATGAAAAGGTGTTTCCTGCTCCAGACTGCTTGCGGTCTGAGCCTGGAAGCTGTCTCCTTCCTTCCCAAAGTGAGGACAGGTCCCCAGGTCCATATACACACCCTGACCCCGGATCAGGTGCTGTCTCAGTCCCAGACACTTTTCTTATCATCTTCACTTTGATCCTCCCCACCTTGCCTGAAGTTATCCTGGGATCCTGGCCCTTCTTCCCATGGAGATAGCTGATAGGTGAGGGTGGTTATCCCACATCTGCTGACTGGGGAGTTTCCCCAAAGCACTTCGAGGGCTGTGCTGGAGATCCACCCCATTCAAGGCGACTCCCTTCCCCTCCTTCAGCCCCATCACACATTCACCTCCCTCCATTCCTCTTCCACCAATGCTACATGCTGTCTCCTCGTTCCATCCCCACCCTTCCCATTCCTTTCCCACTTCCCATCTCAGCTTTCAGGCGCAGCTCTCACTCAGGAGCAGGCGCTTGCGGGTGGGTACCAGTGCTGTGTCAGCTTTCCCAAGGAGACAAATGGTTTGCTGATAACGACTCTAATGAGGCCATGCTGAAGGCAGCCTGCGCTCAGTATTCAGCCTGCAGCTGGTGGAGGCACGCTTTGGGAAGAGGCTGGTTTGGCTGTAAACCCATTTCCCACACAGCGCTCTGCTTCCCTGCGCGTAAGGAGCTTTTTGCTCTGGAGCGAATCCTGTGGTTTATTTGCTCCGCAGATCAGCTGGGAGCAAATCCAGCCATCGTATCACCATGTGCCTCACGCCTTGCTGGCAGCAAAGCTCTGAGAGCAGCCACACGGGTTGCCGGATGGGTTCCAAATGCCACTGGAGAGCCTTGCTGCCTTGATGTCAGTGCAGTCCAAGCACAGCTCCTGCAGTGGAGCTTATCCCAGCTCCTGCCTCGTTGCCTAATTGGTGCTCAGAGAGCTGTTGGTTTCCCCTGGTGCTCTCTAGAGATAGAGCTCCAGAGCAGGAGCTCCTGACACCGTGCTCCAATGCTGCTGGGAGTTAGGAAGAGGGGCAGCCCGTGGAGCCACAATGCGGGAGAGCTGCAGCAGTGCCTTCTGATCAAAGGGAAGGAACCCAGAGTGCTGGAGTGGCCCTAAGCCTGCAGGGAGCTGACCAAAGGGCTTCATCTCCCTTGGTGCTGCCATTCATCTCCTCTGCCCCAGTCCAGTGCACACAGCTCTGAGTTGGCACAACACTCCTGCTCCACCGCACTGACCTTGAGGTGCAGAAACAGCCCTGAGGGATATAATCTGAGAGCCACGGCTGCCAAGCACCTGTCTCACTATAGGGGAAGCAGAGAGGTGTGCAGCGTGGTATCACCCAGAGCTCCTTATGGGTCACATGGAGAGCCTGGCTGGGATAGCATTGCATTTGTTCTACCCGACTTCATACATCTCTTTGTGTAAGAGCTTAAATACCTTGGTGAGCTGCTTTGGCATCTTTTTGAAGGACCACAGGCAGGTCCCAGGTAGCAGCACAGGCACCCAGAGGCCCCACACCAGCTCAGTACTGAGTTGTGCACCCACTGTCAGAGCATGCTGAAGCTGCTGGAAGTGCTACCATATGCTGGGGTGCCTGCAGAGACACCTGTGGGCTCAGGGCACAAAGTGTCCCAATGCTCCTCTCAGCCTAGACCTAATGCTGCCACTGTTGCAGTGACCCTGTTCTGTCCCTCTTTCTGTCTCAGCACCCAGCCCAGTCTTGGGCAGCACCCACCAGCCTATCTGCCCCATGCTGATTTGTTTCCAAGGGCTGTGTGTTCCCTCAGACAAGGAGCCACGGCTATCACAGACCTCCAGGGAATCTCTCCTACCCCCTGGTTCACAGGATGGCTCAGGCAGGTCCCGACCCCACTGCTGCCTGCAGCACAGGGACCACAGGGAGACCTGGTGTAGCTATGTGGTGCCCTGAAGATGAAAAACCTTAACTCTCTATTCTTCCTGCACAGGGACAACCCCAAGCTCAGAGAAGGGAAACTGAGGCAGGGGACTGGTGCAGGCTGAGCCCAGGGCTGCCCAGCACTCCCTGCCCAGTGCTGCCTGGTGTTCATTGATCTGTTTCTATGACGAAGCTGGGCTGCATGCTGGCCTCCTGCTAAATGCTGCTGCCAATGCACATCAGCCGGCTGCCTGTCCCCAGAGCGTGACCCACACAGGGCTGCCCCACAGCCGTGGGCTCTCTGTGGGTGTGTATGGATCATCTCTAGGAAGGGAAGGGCAGCCCAGGGCCCTTTCCTGTGGCAGCTCCTGAGATGCTCCTGGGTGCTCCAGTGCTGAATCTCACATCCCAGCTGGGCTGCTCCCCTCACAGCTTTCATCTTTTGGGGATTTTAGTGGGAGATAAGACAAGAAGCAAAGAGGCAGCATTACCCTGTGCTGGCAACCTCTCCTACTACGACTTGACCAACAGTGCTTCCTGATGGCACCTACGGCTCCTGCCCCACAGTGCAGTGCTGCTGCATCTCATCCTACCAGGTCCCTGCCTGCCCCAAAGAAGTGATCGAGTGCCAGAGTGCAGGATGCCCATGCGGTATGTGCCATTGGGAAGGCGCATTTGGTCCAATTGCCCTTTCTCCACCAAACAACGCCTTCAGCTTCAAACCACGTCGCTACCTCCCTGTCTCCATCCCCATCCCCACAGCTGGTGGTGCAACCTCCTGCTTCGATGGCACGGATGTGAGTTACCCCCAGCCCCAACGCGCTCCCCCTGGCGCTCAGCACTCACTTTCAGAGAATAGGCCAAAGCGATGAAGCCGAGGCAGCAGAAGTTGAGGTATACGAAGTTGAAGATGGACCAGAGATAGTAGTCATTCACCTCACTGGTGTCGGGGTAGATCTCGATGACGGTGGTGGGGTTGGTCATGGTCTTCTTCTCCACCGAGTGCTTGCACGGGCCCGCCGGCCGCAGGCTGTCCCCTTTGCAGCCCTTGCTCTCCATCAGCTGAGCGGCAGAGGAGGGCGAGAGGACGGGCGAGGAGTGCCGGAGGGCCGGGGGCTTGGCGATGCATGCGAAGCAGCCCTGCTGGGGGCCCGGCGGGGGTCGGGGGGCCCAGGCCGCCCCGTCGAAAGGGCACGGGGGGCCCAAGGGAGGGTCCTGCGTCCTCTCCGTGGTGGCGGCGGCGGCGGCGTCACCGCGCTCTGCCCTGGCGAAGTGAGAAATGGGGATGGAGGGGGGGGAGATAAGAAAGGGGGGGAAAAAGAAAGGGGAGAGGTGGGGGGGATGCAGGAGAGAGACTGAGGGAGCGGGAGGCGGAGGAGAGAGCGGGGAGAGGAGCGGGGGAGAGGGCAGCGGAGGGAAGGAGGGGGGGATCGGAGGAAGGGGAGGGCAGCGCAGGGGGGCACGGGGCCGCATCTCGGGTGGGGATAGCGGGGCGAGGGGGGGGATCACGGGGCGACGCGAGGAGAAAGCAACACATCAAAGCGCAAAAAGCACTTGGCAAGAGCGGGGCGGGGTGGAGGGGGAGCGCTGCGGGGAGAGTTGCCAGACCGCCGCGCTGCCCCCGCCCGCAGTCCTCCGTCCGTCCGTCCCTCCGGCTGTCCCTCTGGCTGTCGGTCTGTCCGGGCCTTGTTCCGTCCGTCCCATCCCGGGATGGGGAGCGCGGGGGCCGCGGTCGGGCTGTGCCGAGCAGTGCGGGAGGCGGCTCAGTGCGGCACAGCGCCGCGTCCTCTCAGCTCCCCCCCTCTCGCTCCCGGCGTGGTTTTGTTATCATTGCTGTCATTATCGTTATTATTGTTATTATTTCGCCGAGCCCTCCCCTCTGCGGGATTCCTGCCGGGGCTGCATTCCCCCATCCCTTCCACCTGCCAGCAGCTCCCCCTTCCCTTTTGGTGAATATCGTGGCCGGAGAGGAGGAGGAAGAGGAGGAGGAGGAGGAAGGGGATGAGGACAGGGGATATGGAAGGGGGTGGGAAGAGGCTGCCTCCCCCTCCCTCGCCCCGCTCCGTAGCCGTGCCATTAGGAAAGCGGTGCACCTCTCGCTGCCCGTCCGTCCGTCCATCCGTCTCCTCGGAAGGCATCGGGAGGAGCGGCGGGGACACTACAGGGAGGGCTGCGGGAGCCGCAGCATATCCGGCTCAGCACTGCCTCTTCCTCGCCGCTGGAGCTGGGGATTGGGGGGGGCAGCGTCGGTGGGGGGGGGGGGGGACCTCGGGGGGGGGCAGCACCCCAAGTGTGTTTCTTGAGGGAGGGCTCGGCCCCACTGCTCGTGCCTCCTGGAATGAGGAGCAGCCCGGCAGGAGCAGCCAGCTGGTTCCCCCAGCCCCAGCATCACCCACAGGGACCATGGTACTTTATTCCCACGGATGTGGCAGGAAATCATGGGGTGAGGTGGGGCAAACAGTGCCATTTGTGCCCTTGGGTGGATGGAAAAGTGATAGTGGCAGTAGCAGAGCTCATGGTATGGGTACAAGGTGTGTGGCTGCTCTAGAGTAGGCAGTAGGGATGCCACAAAGGACAGATGAGGCCAGGAGGACCTGGCCATGGTCACTGGCACAGGATTACAAAAAGGACCTCCAAGTGCCACAAGGGCTGTGTGGGAACCCAAATCTGAGTGCTGCGGTGGCAGAGAGCAGCAGGGACAGGCAGGTCACTCAGGAGGACGCACCATGTCACCCTGCAGGCCAGCCCGGCGCAGGTGGCTTTGTGATGGCAGCTGCAGAAGGGCAGCAGAGAAAGCTCAGAGAAATCCTGCAGATGAGCCACTAAGGCTTGTGAAGAGTTGGGTAAAATAAAAGCTTATGCAGGCATTACCTGCAGGGGAAGGGAAATCCTCACTAAGTGCTTTAAGCCTGCCCACAACATGCTGAGTTAAGGAACAACGACTGACTCATGCAGCTTTTTGCAGCCTGCAACCTTGCAGAGCATTCCTCCTCCAGGAGCAGCAATGCAACCTTTTGCAGGCAGGTTGCTGCCCACCCTAGGATATGCTACTGCCCCGTGGCTTGGTGGGCTGGGGAGGTCCTAAATTCCACAGTGCTACTGTGTGTGTTGGAACCAACTGGAAAGCCAACACAACAGGCAGTCCTGGCTTTGATCCTGGATGTAGGCCCTGTAAACAAGCAGGGTAGCACGAAATTTCTGATTGTGCCATTAATTCTCAAATTACAAGGTCCTGGGCATTGGCTAAACATTCAGAGCCCCAGAGTGAAAACTCAAATCTTCTGCACAGCGAAAAATGATCATCAGGGAACCACACGGTCATAGAAGAACAATGTCCTTAATAGTCAATGGGAAATAAGGCAAAAAATGAAGGGGAAATACAAGGGGCCAACAGGTTTATTTGGTGCAACCAAGCCTGCAGGGGACATCAAAGATCAAACCAGGTGGCTAAGAGACACAACAGCATCAGCATGGATAACTACCAGTGTCAACCAGAGGGATGAGACAAAAGGCTTCCTGAATCCCAAATTCCCTTCATGGCTTTCCTCTGAGGCATCTCATGGTGCTGGGGACAGGTACCAGCCTGGATGGGGCACAGCCCACCTGTGTCTCATGTTCTCCCATGTCATTGGCTCCTCCACTTGCAAACAACAGGTTTACATCAGCCCAGGATGAGCCTGTTGTTTGTTTATCTTGCAGAAGTTGTGTACTGCTCTCTTCTGAACGTCAGCAAAGGAGAGAGGATGAGTAGCAAGAAGGAAATTGGAGAGGATGTGGAGGAGGCAGTAGGGTGGTGCTGGAAGCATAGCCCCAACAGGGGAGGGCACATGCTGACATGAAGAGGGGTTTAAAGACTGGGTTGGATGAGGCCCCAGGTAACCTGATCCAGTGAGTGGCAACCCTGTTCCCAGAGGGAGGGGGGGTGGAACTGAAATTGTGCTTTGAGATCCCTCTCACCCTAATCCCAGTTCTATGATAAGAGTAATAAAAACAATAAAAAATTATGCATTATTTGTATACTCCTATTTTATGTGGGTTTTTAAAAGTCATGTGCATGTGAGAGAGAGCACCCTCTACTTCGAGGACTAAACAGGAAGGTATCTCCTACCCCAGAACAATTTTGTACCCATGCTGGAGATGCATATGCTACAGCACAATGGAGTACTGTAAGACATACTGTCAGAACTGAGACTTCCACCTCAAATCCTGCTCCAGCCTCCTGGAAGGCCATCAGCAGGACTCAACCCTCCTTCTCTCAACAGAGAAAGACCACAGACACCTCAGTGCTCACTCTTGTTCTACCCTGGAAAGTCTTCAATCGATTGCCAAGCCTCACAAGCACTGAGGTGGGCAGCAGCTTGGAAAGGTGGATCCCGTCGTCCCACTTTCCCTGGGTTTCTCTCTCCTGTCTTCTGGCTTTCAGTCTCTACTCCTTTTCCCCTCCCAGTGGAGCCTAAAAATAAATAGATCAAAGAAAGAGCGGAAAAAGGAGTCACCAGTCCCAAACAACGTGCTTAGTCATTCGTGGTTATTAAAATAGTTTCTGAACGCAACAAATTGCTGCGCCAGCCAGAGCAGCGCGCTGCCTCCATAAACACGGGTCTGACTCCCCTCCCTGTGGGCTGGGGCAACCCCAGAGGTAGCAGAGGAAGGATCAGACCAGGCACCCTGCTGCAGAGGAGAGGTGGAAGGAAAATATTTATCCTTTTTGAATTAGTGGAGACACTTTAATAAGCAGTAAGCCATCAAATTGTCACGCAGATGGAGTTCTGCAGAGGTGGTGCAGTAAACGAGAACTGATGCAAACCAGAGCATTTGCAGGTAATATAACCCAGGGCTGAGTCCAGGCTGCTCACAGGTTGGGTGCCTTCTGCTCCCCATGGCAAAGCATGGGAGGACAGCCTGGCAGAGGACAGCCTGGCTCTTGGCTTCCCCATTTCTTGGCCAAGATCAAGGCTGAGACTGTTCCTGCTGAGGCACTGTGTCTAACATGGCGTGATTAACGGCCCAGGCACAATCCCCACTGCAAAAACAACACCCTCATATTTTATCAATGACATCTCCCCTTGGGCTGAACAGTTGGTTTTCATGACCCAGCCAATCCTTTTGGGTTATAGCCATCCCTTTAACATAGGAAAGGGGTTGATCGGGGTATTAGAGCATCTCAGGGGAATAGAGGCTCTGGACATGCCAGTAGGGGAATCATTTAAGCTCTTCCCATGCTTAGATCTGCATTCAGAAAGTGGGATGGGACTTGGTTGCATCCGCCTTACTTATGTAGATGTTTTTTTCCAAAGCAGGGATTAGCTCTTATCTTGCACCTGGCACATGGGGCCTTCATTCTGCATCATCTTCAGTTTCCATACAGCAGTGAAAGGACTGAAAGCCACTCAGCCAGGTAAGAGAAAGGGATTTCTGCTACATTCCAAAAAAAGAAAACACCCCATGGTCTTCATCACCAGACTCTTGGAATGCAAACCCCATGTCTTAATAGGTTTTACATTGGAATTAGTCTTGTCTTAGTCACTATAGGACCACATTTTGTTCAAAGCCCAGCAAAAGCTTGTTCTAGCTGGCCCAGCAGCAAGCAGGTAGAACTGTCACGTCACTCTGCAGATGCTGTTTCTTCTAATGCACAGAAACTGAGAAACCTAACAGCCTGCCAGTGTATTTCCTTAACCAAGAGAACCTGCTCAGACATGTACAAGTCCACACAAGTGAGCTACCAGCGATACTGAGCCCTCAGGTCTGGGAGACATCAGGCCTCCAACACCTGAAACTGCTTAAGGAAAGACCAGACTGTCAGTTAAGGGGGGGAAATACTGTATTTTCTTTTCAATTTTCTAGGATGAGACAGTAATTCTGACAGCAAACTAGATTAAAAAAAAAAAAAAAAAAAAAGTCACACAGAGTTTGGTTTAAAAAGAGATAAAAGAAACAAGGGGAGGAGAACCATTTCAGTGAAGACTATGATTTGTATTGCAAATGCAGTCACACCCAACTGCTCCTCCAGCCTATCCCACGATATGTTTGTTAGGGCACAGCTCTGGGCCGTGCACTGGGTGACCACAGAGGCTATAAGGCATTGCATATCCACCAGAACTGCTGCCTGATGGCCAGTTCTGTACAGCTAAAATCTGACACAGAACATTCAAAACCCACTGCCCTCCTGCACATTCCCCATATCAGCTCTGAAAGAAAACAAAAAACAAACGGGTACTCAAGATGCCATCTCACTGTGCTGGGTGAATCCTGCAGCTTGCAGATGGTCTAGCAGGACTTCAAGGTGTTCCAGGTACATAATCAAGAAGTGGGCTCTCTGGAAATGTGCTGTTGATTTTGGAGCAGTTTTTTTTTTCCAGTAACACTCTGTTCTTAATCAGAAGCATAAGTCCATAGGAACCCAGATTCAGGGTTGCAGGCCTGTGAGCAGGCAAAAGCAAGTTCTGGGAGCAGCAGATACGTCACATCCAGAGTTACATGGGACAATATACACATTAGAAATGTCTCTGCTGCCCACAAAAGACATCTCCATAGCATGAGTTATGTTTACAAAGCCAACTGGACCATTGCAGCAGGTGGAGACAAGCAACATCTGCAGGCTAGGTGCTCACTGTCCGCAGCTGCCCTCTCACAGTTCACCTGTAGACTTCTTCCTCACTCGTGTCCCAAAGCTCATGGTAGATTTACTGTTGGGATGATGTAGCTCATACGTATACATGCCTCACCTTGACTAATCACATATCCACACACCTGCTGGTGGTTGTCTTGCCACCCTCAGCTCTGTCCCTTACCTCTTTAACCATGAAACAAACACATCCAAATGCCCAGATCTTGGATCTCCAGGACAAAGATGTGGAACCACAGACAGTTTCAGCTACCACCTCTCCAAAAGAGGAAAATGCTTTGTTTGGTGCTTTGCAGCACAGGAGGTAAATGGACAGAGATCTCACTGATGTTAGTAACATGGGAACAACATGCCAGGTAGGGAGGATGTTAAACCCTGTGCTTTAGGATTTGGTAGGGGAAAAAGGAGTGCAAATGCAAGCCCACAGCCTCTGTGGAACCCACCTGCCTGGAAGACTTGCTGCCTCTGCCAACTGTCTCTTGAGTTAAGGGACATTCAAAACACTATGTGTAATGTTTCCTAAAGGTCTCATGATTTAAGCTTGTAGATCACTTAATTGCTTTGGGAAACATTACCTTCAACTCACTGGCACTGGAAGAAGCTAGCAAGGAAAACCTCAACAAACCCAAGAAAACTTGAGCCTAGTGGCTTTGCTCAGCCTTCAGCACAAAGCTGGGCCTTCATGGACGTGAAATCAAGTGACTTGTATTAAAACCTATTGTGACACCCCTCCCCCCCCCCTTTGTATTCTTACTTCCTGAGAAGTCCCACTGACTGGAACCCTCCTGTAAGTCCCTGCCCTACTAGGTCTGAGAAGGCTCAGGCCAGGCGTGCTGACATCACACCCCCTGCTCACACTAGTGCCTTCACAACACAAGACACACAAACAGAGCTCCTCAATACCAAAACTCAAATCCTGTGCATGCTACACAATCCCCTACTGCTTCAGCCCAGGACATGCTCTCTGAGGATCACACCAGCACCAACTCATGGAGAAATGGTCTAGCAATTGCTTCCTCACCCATCAGAGTGATGGACTTGATTCCCCACTTCAGTGACAAACCAGAACTACCACCTGACTTCTCCATCCTTCTCCCCCAGTGAAGAAGCACCAGCACAGCTCCTCTGCAGGAGCAGAGCCAGCCAGCTGCCTCCCCAGGGTCTCTGGGGCTGGTTCAGCTTTGAAAGTAGATCTTAAAAACAAATACTCAAAGATCTAGCAGTAAGCAAGGGGCTACTCCAGCTGGTGTTACCAACTAGAACTATCCCAGAACCACTTACTCAGAAGGGGAAAAGTAGCTAGCAGGACAGCAGCAATGACTATTTTCCTTGTAATGTTAAGACTACTTGAATTCTTTTTTGGTATTTTTTTTTCCCCACTGAGTGGGTTTCTAATCCTGATAATCTTTCTCTACAGCTTCTCTACAGCTCCTGTGTGTGTATGCAAGTGTTTGTGTGTAGCAGAGACAGTGAGGGGGGAGGGGGTCAGGCGCTTAGACACATTTGGCAAAACCAACAGAGTCATTATCACGGTCAAAGACAGTGTAGTAGGGACCAATGAAGACATCTCCCAGGATCCAGAGTGGGCCCCCAGGTGGTGGGACATCCAGGCCGGAAAACCCACTCAGGCAGATGGTCTCTCCTTGTGCAGAAACCTAGAGAAGAGCAAGAACTTCAGTCAGAGGTCCCCACATCTCCTCAACCTTACAGACTTGCAAATAGTACCTGCCAACCCCAGCTGAACTTCAGCCTCTCTCACATCCTGGGATCCGCAGCTTGCAAGAGCTGCTAATAGTAAAAGCCACTGCTGAAACTCCTGAAAATCTGCACAACGTGACCTTTGTAAGCTGTCAGACAACAGTTGCCTCCAGTCTTGCATGGAAGGTTTCTTTAAAAGGAGGCCAGCATAATACTATCACAAGTCAATAGAATAGGCAAAAACATCTGTAGAAAGCACTCAACTGCCTATCCTTTCCTTCTCTCCCCTCCATGAACAGGGAGCATCATGCAGGAGGGCTTGCTCCTGCAGGACATGGAATTTTCCTGGACCCATCAGCCACTGCCACCACCACAATCTTTCAGGCTTCCCTTCACCATCAAGTGCCAGGTCCAGGCTTGCTTTTATTGTTCTGGGATTTTTGCACTTCATTGCTTGGATCCAAGCAAGAAACAAAAAAAAAATAAAAATCAGGTATTGTGAGAGAAACTGGGCTGTCAGAGGCTCCCCTGGACGTACCTTGAAGACATATTGCTCCCCAGTGAGCTTGTAGGGCTTCCCACCTAGCATGAGTGTGACAACAGGCAGAGACGAGATCTTATCGCAGGGGATCACGTACTGAAAGAGAAGCAGCCAAGCCATCAGATGGCAGCTCTCAAGCCCTCAGGAAAGAACAGCCACCCACCTGGAATAGTCATGTCTTCCCCATCCTCCCAAAACATTGCTCACCTCAGGGAGCCAAAGCAGCCTGAGCTGGGCTAAGTGTGCTGCTAAAACCCAGAGCACTGAGCAGTGGGGCCAGAGGGTGTTAAGGATTGTTTAGGTCTGCAAGGATGGAGCCAGAGGATGGCAGGTTCAGGTCCAACTCTGCTGAGCCCCTACAATCCCCATCCCTCCAGGATTTCAGGGAGGAAGACGACCTTGGGAGATTAAGTATGACGGTTAAACACTTGGCAGGGATGGGCTGTCATTTGCATTAAATGTATTTGTAATTAAAGTGCCTCCGGACTCTCATTAATGTGAATCCTTGGCCTCAGCTGCAACTCACATCCCTCTCCTCCACCTCCCTGAGATGAGTGGCAGAAGTGACCAAAGCACCAAGTCCTTCTACTGCTCCCATCTCCATTCCAAGGACAGAAGGGTGCTTTCTGTGCTGAGGGCTTTTCCTGGAGCACAGATTGGGATCAGAAAACAGGAGACCAGCATCTCTTAAAGGATTTGGGTGCAATTACATTCAAAGTGGCTTCACCTGGCCTTTGATGAGTGGTTTTGCACCAATGGCTGTTTGCAGCTCCTTCACTTCCTTGGTGGGTCCAGTGATGAGAGAAGTGCCTGTGTCCACAATGGCTTCACAGCCCCCTTTGCAAAGAGTCAGCCCATTGGCAACATCCACCCTGGGGAGAGATGTCCAGAGAGTAGACAATCCTTAGAGATGCCCCAGCAACAGCTACAAAGAACTGAACTGAAACGGGGATGACTGAGCCTGGGCATTATACAGACATGCAGGGAGGACTGCAAGAGATAGCCACGAAACACCTGAGAGAAGGATGCATGCTCAAATCCTGATGTAGCAGGGTTGTTTCTCTGCCACACATAGACCCCGATTCCACACAGTCCCTGCATGTCTGAAATTAAATAGGTGCCTTGGTGCATGACTGCATCTCTGCAGATACCCTAGATTGCTACGTGTACTGGTAGGGGTTTGATTTTTACGGTAGTGTGGGCACAAAGTGTTAGCCAAGTGCTAAGACAGCTTTAGGGGCTGTAAGCAAGAGAAAGATTCACACACATTAAGAAGGCAGGGGAGGAGTTGTTTGGCTTCCTCACCCACATCAAGTTTCACAGTGGTGCATACAGATAAAACCTTCTAGCCTTGATCTCTGCAGGCTTTGCCAATGCAGCATGGCTTAGGGAAGGTGAGAACTAAAACCCTGCACCAGGGAGGGCAGCAGCCCTCAGTAAAGAAGCACACACTGATCACAGCCTGCTCCTTAGCTCCTATCACGTGGGGGAGCTCAGAATAGACAGCAGGGCTGGCCGGCAGCTCCCCTTCCCCCTGCCTCCAACAATGCGCACTGATTGCCGCACCGTGCCCTTCAGGCAAGGGCTGCCTTCCTGGGGCTGCATCCTGCTCATCCACAGCTGCCAACCAACAACTCAGAGTTTAACACACAGGAGGCTCTCAGCACTGTCTCAGGAGTGACAGATGCAGGGCTGTCTGCACAGGGGTGCAGTGGGACTTACGAGTCCATGTGGACCTGCCAGTAGGCTTTGCGCGTGACATTCACCCAGCTGAAGTCGCCACTGTAGTATTTAGGGTCAGTCCCCCCCAGCAGCAGCTCACCACCTGGCTGAGCTGTGGGATCTCTGCAAAGAAAGACAAATCACCATCATCAGGGGGTAAGGTGAAGAAAACCCCTCCATGCATCCCCAAAACAAACTGGGGAGTTTGGAGGTGAAGCACAGCATTAGTAACATCAGAGGTAAACAACTTATACTGCCCTATCATATATCAGTACAAAGATAGATTAGGGAAAGGGAAAACTGGAATATTTTCCAAATCATCCTGCAGAGTATCTGTGCCCAAATCCACTGCAACCAATGGCCTCAGAGCTGGATCCTCAAGGTTACTGTCAGATAAAGGATTGCTGCTGAGCAGATGGGAAGAAATACGGCGATAGGGGAGGAACAGCGCTGGAACTGCCAGTAGCAGCCCTCTCTGCTCTCCCCTCTCCAGACATATTCCTTTTTGAGCTGAAGTGGGTGCTTGGGGTACCTTAGGGTTGGCAACAACTGGCCAAGACAGTAGATGGCTTTCCCAGAGGAAAGGAAGGATAAGCCCCATCATCAGTGCTTGTCTACAGGGTGACACAGGCACATGGTTTGTGGATATCAGCTGCAGACTGGGGCTGTGTTTACCCCACTAACAAGGGCTGCCCTAGTTGCATGTGATCTTATGACTGCAATCCTTTTATTTTATTTATTTATTTTATTTTTTTTACCTCTTTCCTCCAGAAAGACCCTCTCTCTTCTTCAGAAGTCAGGTAGCAGATCTACTCAGCATTTTTAAGATTAGAAATGCAGCCATTTTACTATTTCACGTCTCCTTACTCCACACTAAAGAAAAGCAAAGTGTTCAGCCCTCCTTGCTCCAGCAAGACAACCCTGTTGAGACCTCCTCAGAAATGCTAGTGCTTATCCTGACAGTGAGATATGGTGCCACCAAACCCAGCAGTACCTGTTAAGGTAGAAGGAGAAGATGTTTTTCTCAATCAGCTTCTGCTGCATGACGTTATCAAAGAAAGGTGTGACCTTGTCCACGGAGATTCTTGGGAATGCCATGCCCAAGATGCCATCAAACTTGGCAGCAATGAAGGTGATGCCTGGCTGCTTCACAGCCTCCCCAAAGATCTGGTTCTTGATTTTCAAGTTACCAAGCTGTAGGCAGAGGGGACAGAAGGAAAGAGTTTATGAAAAGAGATGACCCACAGAACTAGGGTGAAAATGGGTCCTCACTAAACACAGGCTGTCCCTCAGCACACCACCATGCTTTTGTCCTTGTATTTGTACATAACTGAAAACAGATGATGTGGTGCCACCCTCCTTGGTGGGACAGCCCATTCTGGCTATCCAGTAGCACCTCAAGTACCTGTGAAACTGTGTCCCCATGTGCAGGAGCTTCCCTTCACTCACTGCCCACCTCACTCAGCCCTCTTAGACTATTGCTGGGTTCTAGCATTGGTCATACCATTCTGTAACTCCTCCTTGTTGTGCAGGGCTTGTCCCCTCACTCTATAGTCCTTCCCTTATTGCCTACTTTATCCACACAGTTTGAGCAGATCTTACACTAAACAATTCTTCACTCCAAACATCCAAAACATACCCACGTCCCTTCTCCTGGCTGCTGCATCCATACCCAGTTGGGACCACCAATTCTTCCTACCTCTGCCAAAGAACCCTGCAATCACCCCAGTACAAGAAATATTCCCAGGATCTTGCTTCACATCCAGAAGAGAGACCAGCTCACATAGACCTCTTGTGGCAGGAGAAGAGCCAGTAAGGAAAGTGGTGTTGGCACAGAAACAGTAATCAGAGTAAGGCAAATACAAAGGTCATTAGAAGGACCAGTATTCTGCACTGGAAAGCTGAAACTCCTTTCCACATTGGACACGACACAAGGGTCGATTCCCAGGAAGAAATGCAGAAGCTGCCCAGCTTCTGGCTCAACACAGGCAGTTTCGGTGTCTGTATGAGAGCTCTAGCAAGCAGCCCTAGCAAGCAGTAAACAAGGCTGGACTGCACAGCTCTGCCTCGCCCACCTGATGGCGGACAGTGATGGCAGATAATGATCCCTGTAAATGACAAACATCCCCTCAGGGTTAGACAGACTGGGCAGGCGGTGCTGGCTTTAATGGTATCTACAGATCGGAAAGGGCAAGTCAGCATTGCAAAAGCTAAAAGCCACATGGCAGGATGTGGGCCAGAACAGCTCACAGCAACACATCCGTTTGCAAGCCCTATAGCTTTCAAAAGCTGTTTCAAACAGCAATTGCTCTACCTCTTGAAGAGAAAATGCACAGCAGGGCCACCCTCCACGAAGGGCAGCTATCCAAAACTGGTCCTGCAGCAGCTCAAAAACCAATAAGGCTTCCACTGAAGGAAAACAAAGATAAGACTGAGTTGGTCTGAATTCCTCTAGCAGCTCAAGAGGCTAATGACAACGTGGTGGTGGGATCTCAGAAGGCTCATGGAGACCCTGCCCATCTGTGCTTGATTCTCAGCAGGACTGAGACCCAAGTGCATCTTCAGCTACATGGCAAACAGGGAGCATGGCAACATGAAGCACTGCTCCTACACAGCAAGACTGAAACTCAACACCTTCAGAGAGCAGAGGGACTCTGGGCCACTCACCAACCAGTGCCCTTCAGTAGTATGTCATTGCTCACATGCTTCTGGGGCTGCTTCCACTCATTTGGATGGCTGGAGCTGAGACAGCAATTCTGGAAGTTGTTTCAGAGAGTCTGTACTCCAAAATCACAGACTGCAAGCTTGCCTATGGGAAGTGCCCAGTGGGATTATCATGGTGTTCATGGTGTTCAACCTGAAGGTCTCTGATCTCCCCTTGTTCTGTTGCACTGGAAGCACAATGCTGCCTAGGAGCCATGCAAGAGGTTCCTCTTGCTCCCACCCACACAGAAACCAAGTACTACCAGCTGTGCTGGTTGCCAACAGCTATCCTCATTCCCCTCAAACAAGCTCAGGCACCAAATTTCTTCCTCTGTGCTGCTGGGAAGCAGAGAGCTAATTAGCAAGCAGGCATTAGGGTGATAATTACAGAAAAAAAGTTGCAATTTTCCTTCTGACTCACTTCAGCCCTGCATTAAGCCGGAAAGTGCCTAAACCAGCCCACACTTTCACAGGACAATAAAGTTCACTGTTTGCCTCGCTCCATGCCTGCAGGAGCTCCTTCCAGATCTCCCCATCCCTGCACTGCTGCCATACAATCCAGCTCTGCAACCAGAAGGGCCCAGCAGGCTGCTCTGCCTGCTCAGTAAACCAAGCATGCAAAGGCTTGGGTAGGTGGCTGTTTTCTCAGAGTTTTTCTAAGCCCACTGAAGAACACAGTGAACGTGTCATGAAACTGAAGTGGTCCCACAGCCAGGTGGCAGAGGAAAAAAAAAAACAAGTATGAAGAATGAATGGCAGCTCCCCCCACTCCCATCCACTTTCCAAGTTACCTACTCTAAGGATGAGCTATAGAATGTTTACTACTTGCTTGCACAAAACTCCAGGCTCCTCTTTAGCTTGGATACTTTTCTTCTAATTCTGATGAAATTAGTAGCCTAACACTTTCCAGCTCAAACTAACACAGAAAGCTGAGAAGCTCTGGATTTGTGATTATTCACAATGTTTAGTTTCCCTCCCCTAAGCAAACACATGCTCTTACTCCAGCAAGGACAGCCAGTAACTTGAAAGCATGTGTGCCACAGACTCCCAGCAGCTGGTACACTCAAGTGCATTTGTCCCAAGGAGGACCTGAAGTTCCAGAGTACACACCCTTTATAAGGTAAAGTGTTCAGCCTTTACTTGCTGGAAGGAAATTGAGACAAGAAGCAACGAGCAGCTCAGTGACCTCCAGCCAGCCCATCAATGGCTGATGGGAAACCCTTCAGACATTTGAAGGAGTAGGCACCACTCCACATAGGACAGGATGAGGCTGGCTCCGCAGTGGCAACAGAGCCTATTTGTGTTCTGTGTGCCATCAGCTGCCTACAGGAACACTTCCTGCCATCAGAATGTCAGCCAAGAGCAAGTTGGACATCAGCAGCAGCATGCAGGTTGGTGCTGGTGCATATAGTTAGGATATGAGTTTGCCAGGGTCAAAAAAAAGAAAAAAAAAAAAAAAAGAGGATGGCCAGAGCACATCTGCAGTATGGCTCCTGCTTCAGCTCTGCTTTCATTGACCCCCTGCTTAATCTCTTCCTTTGCCCTGCCCATCTCAGGTGTAGTTACCTTCTCACTTCAAAACACTTAGGAAGACGGTACCAAAGCATGCTTGATACAAGAGGAACACTCCAGAAGTGAGACCCATTGAAATCAAGCTGTTTCAAGTACTTTTCCCAAAAGGTGGCAGGGGGAAACTTGGCCACTACTTACTGTGACTGTGTCCTGGCTCAGGAATCCAGAGAGGCTCCCAGTCCCATAGTGGATGGCAAACTCAGTGCCGTTCTCCACATAGGTGCTGGATTTGGATGCATCATACTTGTGGTGCAGCACTGCAAGCAGGGAAGGGAAAAGACAGACATGAGCATGAATATTCCTCTGCACCTCAAACAGGCTTCAGTCACAAGAAAAACACACCTCAGTAAGGCACCAGGAACATCTGCTATTTGCCTCCCCGGTGTTAACCACAAAATAACTCAATACCCAGCTACACAGCATGCCTGGGGCACACAGACACTTGGTGCTGCAAGGGCCAGCTTGAATGTAATGAGAAGGTCTGGGAATCAGGCAGGGAGATCCAATTTGACACTTCAATAGGATTTGGCCACAGTGCATTAAGAGCCTGGACTACACACGGCTGGCATGTCACAGCACATTAGACAACAGGGAGACAGATGTCCCTATGGCTGCCTGTCATGCCATGGAGAGCTGGGTGGCTTTGAACATACTCTGCTCTGGACACAAACACTTGGACATAATGATCTAATCAAGGCAGGTTGGAAATCTGTATGTCCATTTTTGCTTACGCAGATATAAAAAACAGTACTGTTTCCCCACAACCTATGCTGTTTGCACTATAGGGCTGTACAAGACAGGGCACAAGTTCAGATCCCCTCCTCTGCCCTTGACAGCCATTGGAGGTCAACTCTCACACTTGCTTTTGTTGGCCCCATGGAGTTCCCCTTGCCACTTAAGCGGCACAGATGGTGGTTTCTTTATGGCATTTCACCATAGCTGGGTTTGAAACCTGCATTCGTGGAGGTTTATTTCATAGTAACATCACAGAGAAGAGGAAAAAAAGAAAAGAATGTAATTCCTTAGATGTTCTCATCACAGAGAAGAGTGACTACCTGGTTCACGTTAATTATAAAACCCATAAACATGCAGTCACATGCTCCATGCAGCAATAAAACAGAAACTAGGACAGTTTATATCAGATCTGGCAAGAAGCTGCCCTTCTCCCCTTCCCTCCCCCCCTACCATTGCACAATGAAACAAGTCTATAATTTGGGGAGAAACCCAGCAACCTGGGGAAGCATTCATTGGTTCCCAGCCAATGAAGGAGCAAGGCTGCTCAGGAAGGCTGGGTTCGTGCGTGGGCAACAAGGAGCAGCTTTAGGAGAGAGGGTGTGAACCAGAGGGGCAGGGAAGGCTTGGCACCAGCCCAGACCTCTCCTCCCTCCCTCCAGGAGAATCAGCAGTCTATCAGCTGCTTTGCTATAGCCAAGTCGTCCTTTCAGCAGGAGAACACGATGATGATGCAAGCTAGGGGCTTCCAGTTCATGGCAGGGGCAGGTTCATTATGTTAGCTCTTGCATTGGCACTGCACAGGGAAGGACAAGCTGTGACACTTACAACAAGCGATGTCCAGCAGGTGACAGTGCACTGATGGCACCCAGAGGTTGGAGGAGCCTGTGTCAAAGACCACAGTGAACTTCTGTGGGGGGGTTCCAATGCCAATCTCACCATAATACTGTGCCTGCAGAAGAGAAAGGAGCCCTGTGAGCAGAGGTGCCCAGTGATAATGGAGTTCATCCCACAAAGCCACCCTGAGTTGGAGAGATAACTACTGCAGTAGCATGGGATGGGCACAAGGAACCCTTGTCTGGTACCCACACCCATGGGTGGAGGGCGGGGGGTAGGGGGGGAGGTGAAAAGGTGTCCTGGTAATATAAACACTCCCAAGCAAATGCAACAGCACGTAATAGCAAAGAAAATAATGATGACATCTTCCTCAAGGCTTTTTTTGGGGAAAAAAAAGGGACTGGCTTCTTATGCAGACACTGCTTTTGTCCCACTCATGAGAGTGATGGGCTCTACAAGTGTTCAAACATAACTACAGCAGGTAGGAAAAGTATAAATGGGGAGGAGAAGCAGGATGGGCACTTGCAGTGAGGACTGAAAGCATGCATGGGAAGGTGTGCAGGCAGAAGCACAGCTCACAAAAAGAAGCAGCTCTGAAGAAGGGAGGGCAAGCACCTGCATTGACAAAAAGCCAGAACAGCACGAGTTGGCTGGGAAGCTGCTGTGCTGGCAGGTCTGGAGAGGAACTGCAAGTCACATGGAGCTATACCCACTGCTGCCATGGGGGTTTCAGTATTGCCGGTGAGCCCCGGGGTGCAGGAGCAGAACCAGTACTTGAGTTGGATGTGATCAGTCTGGGGGGGAAGCCTCAGAACAGGATTAAAGGATTATCAGAGGTGCCTGCTCCAAGCGCACCTCCTGAACACTTGGTTTCTCACTGAGTAATTAATAACTCATTTCCACTAACTGCAGTGGGGAGCCAGCACTCACTTCACTACTTCTGGGGTCAGCCCACCTAAAAATAACTGACTATAAGCTTCCACTCTGTCACCAAGGTCAAATCCCCTCTGAATGACAGAACATTTAAACTCACCCATGCACAGGTTATTATGAACAAGAGCCATATCAGCTACCCTGCAAGGCTGTAGCATGGTGGCTCCATAAATCCCACACACAGACCAATGAAAGTGACATGTGGGGAACCTCATGATGTGGCTGTTTCCTGCTGCTCTTCCAGCAAGAAGAACTCTTCTCAGGTTCTACTGGGTTCAGAGTGCACCAGCAGACACTTACCCAATATCACAGATTTGGTTGGTCCTTATGACTGCTTCAAGACGCCCCACTTGAGGCGGGCACTTCCCTTTTCTTCCTGAAACCAAGACTGCACTCCAGCTGCGGCTATGTATGTTCTGGAGTAATACCTGAACCCTTGCCAAGGTTCTTTAGCTTGGCAGTGTTTTTCAGCACACTGAAGTACAGGGCAAATATCTGAGTCCTGGCAGCACAGCACTCCAGCCCCATGCCACACTGGGGCTGGTTTCAACAGCACTGCTTGAACAGTCACAACCCTTCCTTATGGGATGGGGCTCAATAAGGGTCAATAAGGGAGTAGTACCAGTACCTTCCCTGTCCACAGGTGAGGGCTGTGTGTGTGGGATAGACGCATTTGTGATAAGATCTCATCTGCACTATCTGGATCTTCTTTCAATGCTAGTTCTACTGTCTGGGTGTGGAAACATCTCTGCATTCACTAGAGGATTGCTCCAAAGCCACTCAGAAGAAGAACGCAGGGACAGGTTTGGCACTTGTGCATGACAGAGCGCAGCACAGCAATGCTAGGAGCACCACCAAGCCTGCAGATCCATATATACAGCTACCATACACAGCAATTAGTGGAAAAGAAGGAAGGAAATAGGTCACAGAGCAGCAAATCCAGCAGCTCAGTGGCACCATGCTTATTATTTTTAACTTCTTAATGATGTTAAGCAACTGAAAGGTTCGGCAATGGTCCTCTGAGCTGCAGCAGGTGGCACAGCTCTGCCAGGAGCACCGGGGCCAGCCAGGACAGCAGGGCTGGGTACTCACATCCATGTAGTTCTTGAGGATTTCCGGAGTGGGCTCAGCCAGGTCAGCAAAACCCAGCTTGAACTTGAGGAACTGGGTGATGGCATTCATGTCAGGGATCTCGCTGCCCACCTCAGTCAGCATGCGGCGCGTGGAGGTGAATTTGGTGAGGGGGATCCTGTGGGGCATGGGAAAACACCTGGTTACAGGGGCTCTAAGAGCTGAGTACCCACCACACTTCCTACTCCCTAAAGAAGGTAGCCTGGCCCCAGCAAGACACAGGTAGTGCCAACAACTCCCGACCCCAAAGCACCACATGGCACACACACCCCAAAAAGATGGGGAGAGCCCAAGCGGCGGCAGCCCTCAGCAAAGGCCGCGCAGAGCCCCAGCACAACCCAACCCCGCAGCACCATGAATCAGCAGCGCCAGCCCTCCCCACAGCCGCCCCCCAACCCCTCACCTGATGAGGGCCGCGCAGGGCCCCACCAGCGCGAGCAGCAGCAGGACAAGCAGGCCGCGGGGCGCCATGGCGGCGGAACGCTTACAACGCGCTGCTCCCCCCAAAACAGAAGCGCAGAAACCGCCCCGCCCGCGCCCCGCTTTTGTAGCGGCAGCCCCAGGCCCGGCGCGGAGCGTCAGCTGACGGGGCGGCCCCGCGTCACGTGCGGCGGGAGAGGCGGGGCGGCACGGCGCAGCACGGCTCGGGGGGCCGGCGGCAGGAGCAGCAGCGGGCCGCCGCCTGACCCTGCGGCCGTGACTCAGCCTCGAGGAGGAGGGGGGAGCAGTCACGAGCTGGTGCTGCTGGTTTCTTTTTTTTTTTATTTTAATTTTTTAATTATTGTTATTAGATACGCTTATCCCCCCCCC